AATTTTTAAAAATGCTGTACGGAATGCTCGTTTGGGAATGCTCACTGTATTGAAGAAAAATTTTTTGCTCCCCATGATTTGGTTGTTATTTGCTGTTAAAACGTATAATCTGGAATTTTGTCTACCTGAGTCACTGTTGACAGCAGTTTATCTCTTTTTAGGAAAAACTTTAACGTGTCGGACTAAAAATTCTCTTTCCTTTGCTAGGTCTTCTAAACCCGCGAAAGCATAAAAATGTCCTGCCTGATCATCAGATATCTCAATACATTGTTTCCCATTTTTTTACATTTTTGCCCATCACAACGTTCTTTTTTTTGTCTGGCTGGGATTTTCCGCAAAAGTTTAGCCTCTTTGGATTTATTAATTCTTTTTTTCTTACCAATCATTCTTTCTTCTGAAGCACCCTCAACTAAGTAGCCTTCTGGATGCTCAACAATTTTCGTTTTTTCTTTATTCTGTTGACTGATTTGGATACTGACTGAAAGGAGAAGCCGCTTTTTTGTCCGAAGCTTTTCTTCAACGCTTGGGCCCAGTCTTTTTAGTATTATACACAATATTTATGTCAAAACATAGTAGAAAATCACATTTATGGCACGCCGCAAAACCTTCCCCTTTACAAGTTTTGTTCAATCACAGATTGAACAGATAAATCTTGAGCCGGCAGAAGGGTCAATCATAGGTTAAAACCCAAATTTAACAGAAAAATAGTTCAACATATGTTTATTATTATTGTTTAGATATCACTCGTACAAGTAGCGTAAAAGCAACCTTGTGCTATAAACTACTTAGTCAGCAAAAGTTCCAGTCAGTAGCGTACAGAATAAAATACAATAAAAAACACATGTTTTGTCTAGTGCGCTACTGATATTTGTTTTGAATATAATTATAAAGTGTTTTAAGTTTATAGTTCGAAAACATCAAATAATATGATATGTTTTATAAATTATTTAAATTTGTTGAATATAAAACTCTGACAACTTTTGAATAAAGACATAGTTTAACACTGCTTACTCTATCATTTCAATAGAATCTTAATTGATCTCTATTCAAGTTTTGACATGACATTGTCCAAAAGGAGGATCGGCATCAGAATCGTAATCATCTTATGGGGAAGCGTAGTCGTCAATAAAGCTATTTTCATTATCCGAGTAACAAAAAAAAAAGAAAACTGATTATAGGCATGTATTGTAGCTTAAGTAAAAAGAGCAACAAAAAAATAAAACTAAAAAGTACCTATTTGCTAAAGCGGTCTTCGCACAAAATTACAAACATGCTACAAAAAAAAGAAAGGTAGGCACCTACTCACATTAAGTATTTCATTATCTCCACCTACATTAATGGACGGCAGAACTTTCGGTTCTAGAACTACCATTTCCTCTGGTTTCGCTTGACAAATGCATACACCATTGTAAGTTGTAACTTCAACTGGTTCAGCCTGTAAAAAAACATTTTTCTATTATTGGCTGCAATTTGGAGTTAAGTTGGTTCAGGGTGTGCCTGTACCAACTTATAGAAGCACTAACATAATAGCATTCAACTCATACTTACATGTACTAATACGTTTCTATTTGTTGCCTGTTCATTTTCACTAGATGATTTACATAATTTGCTCAACGGAATGTCGTCCTCCGAATCGCTATCTTTTCCATATCTAGAATAATTCCATGATACCATTTTCTATTATATTTCATGCGAACCCTTGTGGAAATTTTTCTCTGAAAAAGTTTTAATAAGTAAAAATAAGAGTTTTAAAAGTCTTAATTTCTCTTAAAAAGTCTGAATAAGTCTGAATAATACTTATTAAGTCGGAAAAACTCAGAATAAGAGTTAGTAGAATAATAGCAAGATTTGGGACTCTTCTGGAAGAGTTAATAAGACTTATTAAGACTTTCAGCAGAAAAGTGGTATAGCGATAAAAATAATTATACGGCATTATTGAGAGATGTTCAGTAAACTGAATTTTGTTGGAAAAAAATTAAAAAGAAGATTTCTTCTTGAATATTTTAGATAATATGTTAGGTTATAAGGTAGGTAAGGTTAAATGAATACACTATAATGGGAAATTACTTTTTATTTTATTATAAATAAGATATTAACGAGTAGATAAAATGTATCAATTTATAAAAACACCACTTATTTAACAATATTACTAACTACATGATGTAAAAAATGACAGATGTCAACAATGGCAGATGTCAAAAATGGCAGATGTCAAAAAGGACATTTGTCAAAAATGACCGATGTCAAAATTTTTTGACGTATGTTTTACGTATTACCAAAATACACTGTCCAAATTTATCTGCTTATCATTGCTACCAATAGAAAATTGGTGAGATTTTTTCTTTTGATAAAAATGGTAAAAAAAGAAAAATAATTGAACATCGGGTTTCCGATAATAATTATAATACTATTTTTTCCTATAATAAAAGTTAAAAAAAAAATTTTGCGGATGCTATTGCCCGACCCAAGTTAACATTTATTTTCTTTAGTTTAAGATAAACCCTCTCTTGCGAGTAATTTCTGTTTCTTAAAAACGTTTCAAAATAATAAAAGTTCAACCTTCCTGGGTGTAGAGGTTCTTTACGTCCAGTGTTTGTTTGTGGTCGAACTACTCTCTTGGATAGTTCCTGCACACCCCTATATGGCATGTACCATATTGGTAATAAATTTTGCCGGAGTATCTGCGCTTATCGCATTTCTATAAGAAGTGCTGCTTACAAAAACTTCGTCGCCAATTAAAAAACGATTATTTTGCAGGTAATCCACATTTTCGTCATTTAACTGAGGTTGTGCCCGCGGGGGTCGACGTTGTTGTTGAGCCTGGAGTCTTTGTTATTGTAATTGTAGTTATTGTTGCTGCTGTTGTCGTAGTTGTTGTTTTTCTTGCCGTTATTCATTAATAACTTTATTCAGTCTAGCTTGTTCACTCTTTTGTTTGTTAATTGCCTGCAGTATTCTATTTTCTTCTATTAACCGGTTTACTACCGGATCTAAATCATAAACATAAATATTTAATTTATATAATATAAATTAACTTTAAACTTAATTATAAAATTATACAATTAAATATTTTTATAAATATTTAGTTTTAAATTTTTTTTTATTTTTATTTAATAATTCATCCTATAGTGATGGAAAGACTACCTATATAACAAACAAAGGTACATAACAAACATTTTTAATGTTTTATGGGCAGTGATCTTTACTTAAAAAAATTACCATTCATAATAATTATTAGGACTTTATTGTTAATTAAATTAGGTACTTCTTCTTATAATAAAAGACTTTATGCATTAAGGGTTCGTCCATAAAGTTCGTCATACATTTTGGGGTATTTTCGACTCCCCCCTCCTCCTTGTCGCAAATAGTTACGTAGGTACAAAAATACTTATGTTAGGTACGTCACAAATTCAAAAAACTAATATGTACAGTTCCCCGTGTAAGTTGGCGAGAAAGCAGTTTGCGCAGTTGACATAATTTGGTAATGTAAGTATACTTACTTTATAAAGTGTATCACGTGTTCTGAAATGCAGTGGCTTGAATTCAATATTTAGGCTACGCCCACATGCGTCGTGTCTCGCCAAGTTACACGGCGGCACTGTACTTATACAAAAATACTTAATTTATAATGTATAAAAATACTTCATTTTGTAGAAATTGAATTAAGAAACAATTATTTTTTTAAAAAGTCACAATAACGAATTTTGGAAGTCACATTTTGACGACCCTCCGCCACCCCATGTCTTAAATTGTCACGTTCTGCTAGACCCCTCCCTTCCCCCTAGGGCGTAACAATATATTATACATTAGGGTGGAGCAAAAAAACCGTTTTTTTGAAATCGGCAATGGGGTATTTACCAAAAGTTGTGGAGTATTGTCACAAATAAGTGTGTCAAATCTCCAAACTCAAAACTTATGTCTTGAGTCTGCGCAAAGCGCTCAAAGTTTTGTTCTTTTTTGAAAAATTTACCCACTTTAATTTTTTTTTAAATGTCCTAAAATTTCTTCACAAACGATGGGTAGATCTTAAATCATGCTTATAGGACCAAACAATAACACAAAAAAAATTTGATGAATAAAAAATATATCCTGAGTCTGCGCAATCTACTTAAAATTTTACTATTTTATGTAAAATAAGCCGTATATTAAGTTGTTTTAATTTCGGTTATAAGTTTTTATTTCACATACATTTGCTTAAATATGCAACTCTTTGCTAGTTTCATAAACTACTAGTTTCATAAAACTACCCAGGACTCACCACGAGGAGGTGGGTGCATGTCGAGTCCCACCCGCGCCCTACCCAACCACCCAACCTTAGTAGGGCGCTATTTTTATACTTTAAAATCTTTTTTTGTTTTAAAAACTGGACGAATTTTTCTATCTAATATTCTAGTTCGAATAACTCCATCCCGTTTTATTTTGTCGCAAACTTGTTTAGATGCTGCAGTTACCTCCTTTACACTCCTCTCCACAGCTTGTGTGTGTGATGGTAATTTAAGAAGACACATTTCGGACAGAATATCGGAGTCGTCTTCGTCTATTAGTCTTCTTAAATCCTCATCTGCCAGGTGCTTGGTGAGTGGCGGTTCAGTCACCGTGACAGTTTGCCATATTATTAAATCGATGTATTCTGTAGCCGAGAAATTTATTGGCGGGATTTCAAAACGCCTGATACCTTTATTCGTACTTTTCATTTCCCTTACTCTAGCTGCAATTATGCGTTTAAAACCTAGTTGACGGATATGTTTTCGAGGATCAGTTATCATTGCAAGCAGCATGTTTTCTGGATGTGCGAAGTACGCGTTGTCCTGTAAACACTTATTTACAACTTTTTTATTTTTTTCATTTAAATAGGACGAGGTAGCTATTATTTTCCAGAAATTAGGTGCACCATCTTTTATTGTTGGTCTAAACTTTATTGCGAACCATCCTGGAGCATATACTTTTATTATAAATTTGGCTAATTCCTGCAAGTTCTCAGATGGCAACCTGGTACTTATCTACAAACGTAGAATTCTGTTAGCTGTTGTCAGCCATCGTGCATGCGACAATTTACCTGGACTTCTACCTCCAAGTCCAGTTGGGCACACACCGCTAGAAACAGCTTTACAAATGTCTAGGAGGTATTGTTGGTCCGCACTTAAATCCGTTATTGTGTTCGTAAGTAGACCATCAAGTTCACATTCAATAGGTTCAAAATTAACCAGATCTAGTTTGTGGCAGTCTGCCAAACTTTTACCTATTGGGCCTACAAATCCATGGGGACCAGATGTTTTTCCATCTAATGTTTCAAGGAGGTGTCGTAATGGAAGCTCATTACTATGTAGCTGGCATATTACCCATTGTAATGGTCGTTTAAGTTTTTCTTGAAGTTTTCGAATAATACCACCATTTTTGCCTGTGTTAGTAGGGCAACCATCACAACCAAGACAGCGCAAGTCCGATAAACTAATTTCTTTTTCGGACATGTATTCCCAAATAGCATTGGAAATATCTAAAGCTTTGCCAGATTGTGGATTGACGTGGCCAATATATTTAGAGCGAGGTTCTTGAATCAATGAGATGTGTTCTTCTTGCCGTTTCCTGCGGTGCATCTTTCCATCTGCTGTTGTTTCCATGAATAAAGTTTCATCCAATCTACCGTCAAAATACAATGCTTTTAGGTTTACTTTATTGATATTATCTTGTTTTTCTAAATGACTACGAATCTTAGCACGTTCCCGCCTTACTTTAATTCTGCCTATTACAATACTACTTGAAGGTATGTCTAGAAGTTTATCTCGCTCCTTAATTTCGACATCATGTAAAAGCGCAGAAGCTAAAGCGGCGGCGGATCTATCTGGTATTCCGTATCTATCACATGTTCTGGCAAAAGTATTTATATTTACCCTAGTCTGTCCTTGAGAATTAGATTTGCTGGAAGGTCCCGGTAAATCAAGAGGTTCAGGTTCAGGGTCTTTATTGCTATATAAATTACTTTGTGAAGATGAAGACACATTCACTACAGTTTTTTCAATTCGTGCTCTTTTCTGCATGCTTTCTTCTACTTTGATTTTCCTAATTACTTTTTTTTTAATTTGTGATGTAGTTTTAGCATCAATGCCACTCAATACCATATTTCGAATAGATATTTGATCTGTCAGAAACTCACGTTCCATTCTTGGAACTTTCTTTTCTAAAACTCACTTGCAAGATATAAAGTCTAAGCATTTACAAGCTGCCACATCAAACAATTTGTTAGACTTTTCCAAATACGTCGTAATTTTATTTTTAAAACTATCTTTGAGATGATCCCTAGCAAAAGATTTGTTTAACCCCTGTACCACATCGATTTATTTTCGTAACATATCATTCATTGTGCGTCGGGAAACTACAGGGATGGACGATTTATTCCATAATGATTCCACCTTAGCCAACACTAGTACAGCCACTTCCGAAACATTTGGATTTTTATCATTGTTTTAAAATTTTTTTTTATTCCACTGGAGAATATAATGTTTAACAACATCACGCCGTGTAGGCAACACATTTTCACTCATCTCCTTTTCACTACCCACTATTTTATTATTACTATTTCTAGTTTTGGGATTCATATTTAAACACTACAATAGCAGATCATAAACAAAACACGTGATTAATCATTAGCGTCTGACAGCTACTGAAGAAATATTGAAAACAATCAAGTGGTGGGAGTGCAAGTGGTGGGAGTGTACTTTCCAAGGTCCCAGCGGTTGCACGTGTTTTAGGGCAGTCTAAATATATTGTTATATTTTAGTTTTGCATTATACAAAACATTTTAAAAAATAAATTAAAAAAACTTTTTATATCGCTTTTTTACATAAAATATTAGAACTTTATGTAAATTGCGCAGACCTAGGATATAGTTTATCCTAATTAATAATTTTTTGTGTTAATATATGGTCCTATAAGTATCATTTAAGCTCTACCCATCGTTTGTGGAACGATTTTAAGATATTTAAAAAAAATAATGAAAATGTGTAAATTTTGCAAAAAAAACCGAAACTTTGGGCGCTTTGCGCAGACTCGAGAAATAATTTTTCAGTTTTAAGATTTAACACAGTTGTTAGTGACATTACTCCACAACTTTTGGTAAATACCACATTGCCGATTTCAAAAAATCGGTTTTTTCGCTCCACCCTATTATACATATACATTATTATATATTATAAGTACTATTGAAATAATTAAATAGCATATTGTGTGGTAAGTGTTTCATACGAGACGATTTCATTCCGTGCCAAACACTTTATTTTTCACATCACTTTAACTTGTAGTTTTAATTTAAACACGATAGATATGGCATTTTCAACTGTCAACTTGATGAATTATTTTCAGTTTTACAATATACAAAAATGATTTTAACAGGGTTAAAATGATTTTAACTTCATTTAGTCGCATTGGTCTGAAATTGTCTTGTTTCGATTGGCTAACACGTTGATTAATTCAAGCGTTATGAAAAAAATATTACCTTGCTACATTCAGTTCTTGGCTCAAATTTTCTACCCCCTACAGCTCCAACTTGTATGTCTTGTATGTCAGGTTCATTAAATTCATAAATATCAAAAGACGAATTATTTGAGTTGGTATCAGGTGTGACTTCTACCTCTTCGACTTCTTCCTTATTTATTCATTTTTGTTGTCCATTAAAAACCTTAAACCATTGTTAAGTTAATTAATGTAAGTATTAAAATCTTAATACTTACAATAATACAATTGCATTGTGTTTTCGTTATTTTGTGTAAGGAATTAATTTATAATGCCAAACTGCGCTATGGCTAAATGTAACACTATAATAAATCTACAAAATCTACCAAAGAAGAAAATACCAAAATTTACAATTTTTAAAATATAATGCAAATTTTTTAAGTTACATTTCTCTCGTAATAAAAATATTTATAGAATTAATAATATAACAGGGTGTTCCTACTCAAAGTGGACAACATAATAAAGGTAAATAATTATAGTCTGCACTTTTTTTTAATAAATATTTTTCATGGGAGGTTTTATTTTCGTCGGTTGATATATTCTTTTAAATCTTTAACACAAAAATTGTAAATAGAAATTAAATTAAAATTACAAAAAAAAGTTTTCTTAAAACCGCCCATAAATAACTTAAATAATAGTATATTATGCACCAAGGGAGATAAGTTGGCGATTACCCACAAGGGCGGTAAGGCACGAGTGGGTAATCGCCAACTTATTTCCCGTGGTGCATATACTTTTTTTTCTAACACATGCACGCAAGTGCGTTTTTACCTGTCTGAGCACATAAGGCTACCCAATGGACAACCTTGTGTGCTCAAGCACTTGCATGCATGGATTAGAAAAAAATTGTAAGAAATTGCAAAATTGAAGAAATTGCAAAAATATCCATTCCTCATAATAAAAGTAATTTTTTTGTAATTTTATTCATGAAAAATACATACTTAGAAAGTATTACTTACTAAGTAAACAAGTTATTTTATTTATTTAAATATATTTGAAAATTGGAGCACTTATTTTATTTATATTTATAATACATTCTGAAGAAGCTACTGTGTAGCGAAACAGCTGTCAAAATTTAATAAATTTCGTGAAACTTTACAACAAAATTGTTTTTATATCTACATAGTTGGAGCAGTTAGTTAAATGCAGTTGCATCTTTTTTTCTGGGATTTCATATGTTGAAACTGGCTGGGCATGATTTTCTTTATCATCAATGACATAATCATTTGATGTTGATGTTGATGCTATGCAATTTGTTTCATTGAGCAGTTTTAGGTGCTTGGTTGTTGACTGGTCCCCTCTTTCAGTAGATTCTGTTTCAGATAATATTATGGATGAAGCAAGGCGTTTTTCAGTTTTCCTTTTGTAGCCTAAAGATTCCTCGATATATCCTTCTGCAACTGTTGTTGATCTCCATCCGTCATGGCGTTTTATTTCCGTAATATTTGCTCCTGAATCTGCGAGAAGAGTGGCTGATGTTCGACGAAAACTATGTCCTGTGTAACAGTTTGCATCTGGCAGATTTAAAAATTCTGCAATCTGTTTTGGCATACTGGCAATTTTGTTTTTTGCAATGACTTGGGAAGTGCATTTTGAGTTTTGATAATTCAAAAAAAATCGCTTTGTGTTGACATTTTGAGGACGAAGAGCTGCATAATTGCTTACAATTCTGTAGTATTCACCGCCGATCGTGAACGTCCGGGGTAGCTTATTCTTTGTATTTGGCAACGTAATAATTGCAATGCCATCACTAAATTTTATGTCATCTGTAGTAATGTTAATTAATTCATCTCCCCTATACGCACCATAAACTCCAAATAATAAAGAAACCTAAAATAAATAATGTGTTAATAATACATTTACACCATCAAATTAGTATCTACAAATTTCATGGTATTTATACTAGCACTTACTTTTGTTGCCAGGAACTTTTCATTGGGAGCTTCTTCTAGAAACTTTTTAATATCTTGCCCGGTTAGAGTCTTAGATTTTTTACTTTGAAAACCATCGGACTGACGTTTTAGAAATGCGTTCAACTTCTGGTAATTGCCAATGTTAATATTACTATTTAAATTTATTGTACTTTTTAGCATCGAATAACGTGCCCACAAGGATGAGGGTTTCAAAACCTGCGATTGCTCACTAAAAAAAGCCAATAGAACGTTTTCTGAAAACTATTGTGTTTGTTTCGATTTTCTCCATTCCATAAACGATTTGTAGCACGCGTTGTATTTGGCGGCCGATTTTGGGGGCAACAATTCTCTGGTTACACTAGAGGCTTTAGCCAAAATATCTGGAGGAGTAGACTCCAGCAGCTCATCCATGTTACCAGTTTCTTCGTTATTATCCATCACAGAACATAAGTTATCCATTATTTAATTTTCTATTTTATTTTTTATAACAAAAAACTAGGTATTTCGCACAACACAAATTATAGTGACAACATTGAACTTAACCATACTTAATAATAAAGTCCCTAGATTCTAGTATGAGCGCCATCTACATACCGCTAGCTAAACTAGTCTAACGGGAAATAATTTAAAATTATTTCCCTGTGACGTCAAATTTAGACAAATTATTTACCTCTGACGTCAGTCATTGTTAATCGGTCACTTCTCTCCCGTAGAGAGGGCAGGTTATTAAGCACTTTGCGTGCATGTGTTAGAAAAAAGGGTTTACGTAATAACAAAGTTTGATAATTCAAAAACAAAAGCTGAAATGAAAAATATTTATTAGAAAAAAGTGTTACCCTTTATTTATAACAATATTGTTTTTCTTTTTTCAAAATATAAAACACATTGTATACAATATATTTATAACATTGATATTATCCTTTTTTTTTAAATATCTAAAAACATGACCAAGTTTTATTATTTAAAAAAAAATGATCATCGTTTTTTTGTTATTATTTAATAACAATAATTTTATTATTTAATAACAATAACAGAAAAACGATGATAATTTTTTTAAGCTTTTTGCCTTTGAATGTATAATTTTAAAAATACATTGACCCAATGACTTAAGTCATAATTATGGACAAAGTACAAATTCGTAGTAATACTGCCTACCTCCACAGAAAAAAAAGTACATAATATTAATGTATTTTAATATTGTGACAATGTATGCGCACATTAAAATAGAGCCGATGTTTCATTAATGCATGACAAATTACATTGAACAATGAAGAGTACATTGATATAATGTAACAGTATACATTGGTAAATGTATGTCATACATTTATAGTATGTACCTTATTCATTAATATAATGTACCCTGTACATTGATATAATGTACCCTGTACATTGATATAATGTACCCTCTACATTGATATTATGCACTCTGTACTATCGGGGAAATAATTATCTTTCCAGTACCGGTTCGATTTCGCTTAAAACAGATTTCGCAGCCACGCCTTCGGGTATTTATTGTCTATTCAATAGCGCTTTTGTTTCGCTTTAAAGAAATTTCGGCGGCCACGTGTGATCACGCCCCTTTTACTATTTATTTATATCTACTATTTATTAATAAAATTATATAATTCTAATATGATTTTTACTATTTTCCCAGGATTTTTATGTATTATTAAAATAAATCTGGGTTTTATTTTATAATTTTCCTACTTTAAAGGTAGGTAGATAATCCATTTAGATTC